GCCGGGAATCTGAAACAGCCCCGACTGCGAGAGTCCCGCAGTAATCGGCCTTGAACCCCGCCACTTCTGTTTCGCGGCCTGGGGTGTGTGTGTGTGTGTGGGCTGGGGGGGTGGGTGATGCATAGTCTCTTTTTACTAGTCTTATTCGAAGATAAATGCTGCAATCCTTTGCACATTTAATTGCAAGTAAGCACATCGAGTACAGTAGATCATATTTCCAAAGAATTGCGCTGCAAATTTGACCTATAAAGCGCGCAACTTCATATAACATACGGGCTTGCAAAGGCAGTGTACACTTTTCACAACTTCGGCTTCTAGTGAGAGTTTCTCCAGTTGCTCTTTTTATGGACGTTTATATCTTACTTCGGATAGAAACGCTTCTCCGAAGCAAGGAAACGACTGGCCAGTTGGCCTCCCCCGGGTGAAAAGGAAAACATTGCTTGATCCCAATCCAGCTCCAACCTGAAGGTGCTGGGAGCTTGGCAGCTGTTTCCGGTGACCTCCGCCTCCAGCCTTTGATCTCCTGCAGCGGTAAATCTGTTATCGAGTAGGGGAGTAATATTCCAGCAGATTGGAAAGGGCGTTTCTATTAGCTAAACCCTCGGGATTAGAACTCAGAACCCTAACACATTAAAATCGGATCTGCAGTATTTAATTTCTAGAATGACAGGTGCCGAGGTTCAAGCGCTGTAGAAGGCACGCCCTCCCTGGGACTTAGGAAAATCACCCCGGGTGTGTGAAGTGGGGGGAGCTACACGTGACGCGCGCATCAGACGTGCTTTGAGGGCACATGTCTTAAGAATAGTTTCAGAAGGGAAAAAAAGAATAGTTTCAGAGGTCTGCAAGAGAAACTGAATAAAATCCACCTGAGATTTAAACAACAGCAAACAAAAGAAACAACCCCCTCCCCAATACTCTTCCTTTGGAAATTATTCATAGCTGAATGGATCCTCCCCGTGGAAATTATTTTTCCAAAGTGCTTTTGAATAACGAGTAATTTAGGTCCCGTTCACAGGAGAAGTTGCCACGCTAAAGACACGGACGATAGGCGGATTTTCGTTACAACATCTGGGAAGCGTGGCTAACCCGTGGCTTCCTGCCGAAGATGCAGGATAAAAAACTACCTTGGCCCATTCATACGGCGAATTTGCCACGGGAGAGCCACCCGTGGTGGGCGGATTATCCATGCGCAATCGCACCCCAACATCTGGGAAGTGGAGTGCACCCGTGGCCAACCTGTGGCTTACCCCAGAAAACCCTCAATAAAAAAGTAGTACCTCCAAAGTACTGGAAACGGTTTGCCACGGGATGCCCGTGGTGTGATCGTGCTGGCGTGCAGCTTTCCCCTCCAGCCCCTCGTTTAAGCACCGGCTCCAAGGGAAGGACCCCTGGTGTGCCACAAGCGGGTGTGATCGTATAATCGCGGATCAAACGGAAAACGTGGGGCAAGGGCGGACATCTGATCATGTTTCCGCTCTAATCCCGTAGCATCCGGCACCAGTCCATGTTCCATCGCAAACCAGATGGGTTTTTTTGTCTCCATAGGATGCGCTTGCTTAAAATGTTCCATCGCAAACCAGATGGGTTTTTTGTCTCCACAAGATGCGCTTGCTTAATCATGCGCATGTACAAACTTTGGTGGGGAAAAAATTCCCGTTTGCCATGGAAGTGGGGAACTCCAGGGGACCTGTGATGGGCTGCCGCACTTTACTTTGCTCCGGGGCAAACAGCCACGCCTCACCCCCACGTTATCTGGCCTGTGTGAGGGGCCCTTAATTGTATAAACAATGTGAGCTAGAAACTTGGCTGCCGAATGCCAGGAGAGATGCACACACGTCTGTCTGTCTGTAACGCTGTTTGCAGCGTTTTGGAAGGGAGGGGGCAGCTGTGACCCACTCCACTGAAGATCCTTGAACATATGAAGCCGGTTTATATACTGAATCAGACCATTGGTCCATCAAGGCGAGTATTGTCTATGCAAACTGGCAGCAGCTCTCCTGGGTCTCCGGGAAAGGTCTTTCACATCACCTGCTACCTGGTCCTTTAACTGGAGATGCCGGAGACTGAACCTGCATGCCAAGCAGATACTCCGCCACTGATCCAGGGTCTCTCCCTCGGTTCGAGATGCCCTGCTCTGTATGCAGGGTGTGTGGTACAGATACCGAGTTCAGTCGCCTCTCCAACGAGTCCCTGATCTGCAAGTACGGGAGGCACGATGCTGAGCGACCGACCTTAAAGGGCTGTTGTACGGCTTGCCGCACGACCTATCTGAAGCGCTTTGAACGCCTGAAAGCTGCATCCAAGCTAAGCGTTTCGGTTACGACAGCCCTGAGGCTGTGGGAAATGGAATCTAGACGTAACTCCTCGGAAGTGCATCCTGCTGGAATCAATGGGACTTGCTGGTAAGTGAAGATGCTGAAAACAAATGACCCTGGTGGAGATGGTTGGTGGGGCTGGCGTCTTTCCAGAAAATGTGCTTAAAATCTCAGCCTACAAAGAATCTGATTGTCAGAAAACTCTGTTTAAAGTTGGGGAGGAAATGTAGTTTTGCAGCTTGCGGCGGAAAGCAAGTCCAGAAAGATCAGCGTCTTGACCGATCCCAGCCTCCCTGCCGGCTGCAGTGAAGAAGAGCGCCTGGCGGTGCTCTGGTCCTTCCGGCACCAGTAGCAGACCTTCCCCGGCCAGGGCGAGACGCCTCTTCCCGGAGCTCGCCTGCCCTCCAGCCCCCCAAAAGGCCTCGCCTCCCAAGTCCAATAAGAAAAGCCCGGAGACATTTCTGAAAAAGGGAAGTCCCTTACCGAGTGCTTACTCCGAAGCCCCGCTGAGTTCAAGGAGACTGACGCCCAAGGGAGTGTGCTGAGTTTGGCAGCTCTGGTTCGCTTTTTAAAAGGAAAAGAAAAACCACACAGCCTTACCGATCATGGCGGAACTCTCCATTTCCCTCCCCAAACTTCAGTTCTTCGCTGTCTTCTCTAGACCGGCCCTAAAACGTTAACTGAATAACACCCCCCCGCGCGCCCCCCCCCATCCCAAGCGTAAAGTCTTGGCACGTTCAAACTGGCAAAGGCAGAGCTGCTCCCAGAATGGATCCGGGCAGTTTTGCCACAAGGCCAAAGATGGTGAAGCGCCGGAGCTGAAGGCGACACACCTGAAAGGCGGCGGTTCGAGCGTCGCCTGGATTGCGTTACTTACAGCAACCCACTCCCCGCCGCCTGCAGTAAAAGTCGGCCTCCCTTGCAGGACTGTTGTATGACATGGTAAAACAGGGGAAGCGGGAGACAATCTTTTTTTTTAAAATGAATAATTCCTGCGCACATTTGTTCTGCAGCACATTCCAGTCGAATTGAACGAGGCTTTCTTCCCAGGAAAGGGGTATGTGAAGGAAGACCTGCTAGAGATTGATCGGGGTTCGCCATCGGTTGAAATGAAGGTTGGGGCCCCACTCTTTCATATCGGAAGACACAGTACACAAAAGACACAAATGGACGCTGCGATTTACTTTTTTTGTTTATTTAAAAATGTCAAGTGAATCGCTTTTTTTTGCAACCAAACAATAAATATTATTTAGCAACTTTTTCATCTCTTTATTTTTTATATAAAAATAAACAAGTAATTTAAAAAAATCTCTTGAAGGTGACAGCTGAGAGAGAGAAAGACAGCCACGAAGAGAAAGAGATGTTACTCAGAAACAAGGGTGGGTGGGTTTCCGCGCTATCAGCCACCTTTGAATACCCGCAGCACAAGCAGTGCGGCGGTCCTTTATAGACCGGGTGGGGTTTTTTTGGACAGGTGTTAAATTCTGGCAGGAAAGGAAAGTGTTATGCATCAGGAAAGAACAGACCTTTAACGCGTTAAAGGTTGTGAAGAACAACAGAAAGCTCAAAAGGGACTCATTTGCACCAGATCCCCAACCAACCAACCCAAAATAAAATAAAAAAGAAAGCACAAATTTCCCTTTAGAGCGGTCACCCCATCACGCGCATACCATGCAGATCCAACTCTGGAATGATCCGCTAGCAATTCAGCTCTGCAGTTCCCCAAACTTTGGGCACGATCCAAACCCCGATGAGATACTTTTAAGTCCCATTCTTTCCCACCTCGAAGGCTGCAGTTCTAAACACACCAAGTCAGTCGTACTCCGCGGGATCTGTCGGCACGTTAATGCTGTTAAACGAGTGGCACTTAAAACTGTTGCGCTTGAGCTGCTTCCCCCCTCCCCGCTTGAAATCAAGTCCTATTTATTTCAACGCTCTCACGTACAACACAAGAAGGCTGCTACTTGGAAGTCAGTTGAAACAGTCCACTTCTACATAAATATGCTTAGGATCGGGCAGAAGCAAAGGCTTCTGAAATCCTCCCCCACGGAACGCCCCGCGCCCATCTATAACGGAGAAACAGATCCAGCGACTCTCCCCTCCCAAGTAATATTCGAAGTGGCGTTTCCTTCCACGGAGCACCCAGATCCAGAACACATTTTCATGGGCGTTAAGAGCCACTGATTTCAATGGGACTGCGGGTTCCTATTTGCAAGGTAGGTAGAACTCAGGTGTTGTGTGTGTGTGGAGAGAGGGGCAGGCACAAAATATTTCAAAAAAGTGAAGATGAAAAAAGGAGACCTCGAAAAGCGATGGGCATGTTTTTTAAACTAATTGGCAATCTGCGGGACAGCTGGAGAGTCTCTGGTTCGAATGCACGTGCCTCCCTACCTGCACCTTCTAGGAACGTTTCGTGGCCAAAACCAGCGCCCAGGGCTCCGAAGGCGGCGCACGGTGGGTCCACCCACCACTGAGACAGAGATCAGAGCGGGTGGAGGTAGAAGGGCAACCCCGCTCCCCGAGAGTTTGCTGGAGAAAGTCGGGAAAGAGGGCGACACGGTGGCCTCTGCTCCAATGCGCGGAGTGAGTCCCCGGGATGCTCAGGGCAGGTACCGCCTGGAGATCACCCGCCTTCCTTCGATCTCCCCGCCGCCGCCGCCCCTCCTGTGCCGCTCGTTGGCCCCTTCATTTGGCGTCGCTGGTCAGTCTGGGCAGGCTGGCCGTGTTCATGCCGGAGACGTGATGGTGCGAGGGGGCGGGCACCTGGCACATGCTGCACGGGCAGGGCATCCCTCCCCAGTGTTGGAAGCCGCTGCCCAGGGGGGCGGCGGCGGCGGCGGCGGCGGCAGCGGCTGCAGCGCTGGAGGGCGACTTGAGCAGGCCGTGCGAGGGCCGGATGGAGCTGACAGCGGCCAGGGCGCCGGCGCCGGGCAGGGAGGCACTGGAGACGGGGGCGGGCAGGGGGGCGGCGTGGCCCACCAGGCCCCCGGGGCAGGCGGCGGCCGGTGGGTGGAAGCCGGCGGCGTGGTGTCCGCCGTAGATCTCGCTGAGGAGGCGCTTCATCTCCTCCAGCGAGTTGGTGAGCATGAGGATGTAGTTGCGCGCGAGGAGGAGAGTGGCGATCTTGGAGAGCTTGCGCACCGAGGGCCCGTGGGCGTAGGGCATCACCTCGCGCAGGCCGTCCATGGCGATGTTCAGGTCGTGCATCCGCTTGCGCTCGCGGCTGTTGATCTTCAGGCGCAGCTGCTGCAGCTCCGGCTCCGTCATCTGCTTCTTGTCCTTCTTGCAGGCCGTCGAGGAGGCCGACGAGGAAGAGGAGGACGACGACGAGGAAGAGAGCGACGAGGGCGACTTGAAGGCCAGCTTGTCTACCATCACCACCCCGGCCGCGCTCATGGCGCTCCGCAGCTCGGCGCTCAGCTCGGCCGGGGAGTCGCTGGGCGTCGAGGAGGACACGGCGCCGCCCGCCGCGGAGAAGCCGCCGCCGCCGCCCACACTCTTGCTCCGCGTCGCCGACACGAAGAGCTCATCGGGCTCCGGGGAGGAAGGGCGGCTCGACACCAGGCTCGCATCCGAGTCCATGGCCCTGCGGAGGGGAGCGAGAGGACACAGGCAGGCCGGGTCAGACCAGGGCAGCGCAGCAGAGCCCGCCCGGGAGCCCACCCCGCGCACCGGGGCCGGGAGGGGGAGGGAGGAGGGCTCCCTTTGGCCCAAACACCCCCCCCCGCCCGCTGAAGCCCGAGGGAACTCTTGCGCCCTTATCCCACTTCCCCCCTCCTCAGATCAAGGGGACCTGTTCCAGGACAGTGGGTGGGTCGCATGGGGGCACCACCCAACAGCAGTCAGCCCCCACCCCTCCTTCCCGCTGGAGTTCGGTCCCCTTCCCTGTCCCCTTCAGGAGGGACGCGCCGCCCGATCCCGAGCATGTTTAGGACTCCGCGAGAAATTCCGCCTGGTCCATTCAATTCAGGCGAGTAAGCACGCAGAGGATGGCAGCAGCATTCGTTACCCAGAACGTGCTGCTGGACTATAGCCGATGGGTTTAGGAAGGCAAAAACCACGCGATTTGTTCCAAATTAATTAGTCTCTCAGAACTAAGTGTTGCGCCACCCCCACCCCCAAACAGAACGGGAGTGGGAGTCTACCCCCTCCCCCTTTAACTACCTGCATACAGAAAGCCGCCTGAAAGGTACTTCGCGGTAAATGTAACTGGAGGTTGTTTCCTCCACTGCGCTGAAATCCATCACTAGCCGGCGAAACACAAGTCGGGGCGACCCAAAGCTATCTCTTCGGGCCTTGCCCGGCACCCCCCCTAGCGGGCCAGACAATCGACGTATGCTGGGGGGAGTCCTCGGGGCCGGCAATCCAGATTATACCGTCGATGCCAGAAAAAGAGAAACGCACCTCTCTGCCAAGAACCCTAACGGGGAGGATCTTTCCTTGCGGTGGGCAGCTGGGGATGATCAGACCCCCTTCCGCGCGGCGTGGTCTGTTCGGAAGCTCTCCCGGGGAACTTCCACCGGAGTTTAGTAAGGGGGGGGAGGGCAGCGTTTCTCCCTCCAGGAAGACTCCTCCGATTTCGTAAGCCAAGCGCTCCGCCTTTCCTTACCCCGAGGTCCGCGCGGCGTGGTCTGTTCGGAAGCTCTCCCGGGGAACTTCCACCGGAGTTTAGTAAGGGGGGGGAGGGCAGCGTTTCTCCCTCCAGGAAGACTCCTCCGATTTCGTTAGCCAAGCGCTCCGCCTTTCCTTACCCCGAGGCGAGGTGAACCGCGTCTGCCCTGCTGACTAAAGCCGAAGGACCGGCTGGGGCAAACGGGACAGAAGGGGCAGTGGCCGGAAGGGGGAGCGCGGAAAGTGCGCGGCCGGCGGCCTTCTTGCGCCCGGGAGCCCCGCGCCCCTTCCCCGGGAAGTGCCCCCCGTCCGTCCGTCCCTCCCTCCCTCCCCGCGGGCGCCCGAGTGGGCCGGAGCACTTACAGTGGCGGCGGGGCGCTCTCTCTGGTCGGCCGGATCCGCTCCAGGCCCGCCGGCGCCTGTCCCCCCTCCGCGAGCGCCCAGTTCCGAGCCAGCCCCTCTCGGCCCCGCGCGGGAGCTCTTATAGCCGCGCGGCCCGGCGGAGCCCGGCAGGAACAATGTCGCGCGCCCGGACCGGCGGCCGCGCCAATGAGGGAGGCGCTGCCGGGGGGGGGGCGGGCTCCTCCAGGACCTCCCGACT